ACCAAGGAGGAAGCCGGGTGGAGGGGTAGGGACAGGAGACAGAAAGCCCGCCGCGATTCCAGTAACATGGTGTGTCCATGCCTGGACATCTCCTGCCAGTGCTTTGGAAGTTTAGCTTCATGTCTCTCCAGGGACAACTGAGGCCTTTTAAGTCTGATGTTGTGAAAGCTGATTTCCTGGTGACCATAGGACTCCATGCGGCTGCTCACCAGAACGTGCGGGGCCCCACAGGTGGGGTAACCCCCAGACCAGGTGGTTGATGAGTTATGCCCAGAACGGCCTCGTGAGCAGGGGCTCGTGGGAGACAGAGGCAGGGACCCGAAGCAGGACCACTCTGAGGACTTAACTCGGAGAAGAAGCCCAGCCCACCGCCTATTTCAACACGTGCATTTACGCAGGTGGACAGCTCAGGGAAAGCCAGCTTGGGGATCTTCACAAGGAAGGCTTGGATTGGTGAGTGAGGACAGCATTTCTGAACCTCTGCCTGACTTCGGTGATTAAACGGCACCTGTTCTCTGAGCGCGGCGTTGTTGCTTCTGATGAAGAGTGAGGAGGGCAGAGAAAGGAGTCGCTCTTGTTGGGCCAGGGAGAGAGAAGAGGCTGGGAAATTCGGTCCAGGGAGAGGCTAGCTCTCAGCCTGCACGCTGCTTTAAAGCTGTCCTGATGCAGAGCTAGAACCGAGGCTCTCGGACCGCCAGGAGCAGATGACAGGGCTGTGGCAAGAAGAGGTCCCCCCCCCCCACTGTCTCTCCTCCCTACCGTATAAAACGCAGGCTCTCCCTCCCTCCTGTCTTGGGAAAAGCAGGGAAGCTCTGAGCTCTGCGGATCAAAGGGAGGGCACAGGGCACGGTGGCGTGTGAAGACCTAGCTCCCTCTGGTTGACAGCATGTCCTCCCACCTTCCCTGAGAAGGGGAGCCGCTGCCTGTGTGACTGGTGGATGGATATCACATGGTAGGAGTACGTGACCAAGAGCAGCAGAAGGAATACAAAGGGCCGCTGGTAAGGGATAGGTGCACTGATCAGAGAGGAATTTAAAGAACCCAGGGAAGGACACAGTTATCAGATCCTGGTCCAGATGCCTTAGAAGGGATGGATTTAAATGCAAACTGGGGAGCCATATCTCTAGCTAGAACTTAGCCAGGGCTGTAACACTGCAGAAGCCTCAGCATGCTGTGCCGGGGCCCCTGGGTTGTGACAGCATCTGTGTCCCTGGGCAAATGTTTAGGACCCTTCCTCATTCAGGAGCCAGGCCAATCAGGGGCAGCATGGAGGAGACCCAATCAGAGAGGCATTCCAAAAATGCCACATTCTTAGAGCCCCTGGAGCCAAGGGAGGGCCCTGCCGGGCAGCCACTGACCTGCCTCCTCAAATTAGGGAAGGAAGAAGGCCTTACATGGCAGACATTCTGTCCCAGGGCAGGACAACAGGAAGGCCACAGATGCAGTGTGGGGAGGGAACTGCAGCTATCAGGGACAAAAATGTCCTTGATGAGACCCTCCCACTCAGTCCTGGTGAGTTGGCTGCCACCCACAGCCAGCCCAAAATGTACTCAGACTTTCTAGCAACCATTTACTCACCCAACTGGTGGGTGTTATAATTCATGCCAAGTGAGTATGCAGACATGAATTTCTCATATTGACTTGACTCTCCGAATAAATATGAAGACAAAACAAGTCACTGGCTCTGTCGACTTTCCTACATGCTCACAAAACAGCACTGACGTCCTGAGCACAAGCGCTAGGCTTACCTGGGTCTTTCAGGAGACAAAAGTCATCTATGCAAAGCCGTGACAGGCACAGGCTGAGCTGGCCCTTTACAGATCCTAAAGAAGTGAGGTGGCCACCTTTAGAATCAGGACACTGGACGTCACTGAAACCACCACCATTGCCTCAGCACGCTCCGTGGAGGCGCGGAGCCCGTGGCACCTTGCTTCAGGAGGAGTGTAAGAAGGGTGATGGCTGATGGGCACAAAGAGGGTGAGAAGTCTTCCCCTGCCTTGGACACCTGGGAGGGAGACGGTAAGGGACCCATATCCTCCAAACACAGGGCAGCATCATGTCAAAGCACAACATGCCACAGGTGTTGAAAGGGGTCATATCTGGGGCAGGAAACCAGGAAAGCCTCCTTCTCAGTAGGTCTGGGAGGTGGGAGAATGATTGACAAAGCCCAGTGTGCCTATTTATTTTACAACCTTGTTTCAAGGTCAAATCACAAGCCTGAGATTCTATTTCAGCTGCCAAGTCGGGATTGATGTCTCCTTCCCACTTTCAGTTCCTTGGAAAAGCAGGTCTCAGTAAAAAGCCGCGTACTATTATTACCCTCAGGCAGAATGCCAAGAACAGAGCTCTGAGATCTTCCGCCCCCAGATCTGAGCCCAGCCTGAGCATGCACGGTGGACAGGCTCCGGCCAAGGGCAGCCCCAGCCAATCCCCAGAGCGCTGGTGGGAATGTGTTTAATTGGAAGACACTAGCTTTGAGCGGGCCCAGAGACTATCCATCTTATGGCAATTGTCAAGCCAGCTCTCTGCAGAGCCCTGCACCTGACATCAACAGGGGCGGGCCAAGGGATATCAGGAGATGCAACAAAATTAGATTAGAGGTGGAGGTGCCTTCTCAAAGTCCTAATTTTCCTTCAAGCCCAGCCCCAGTCTGACCTCAATCCAAGCCATCTCATGGCCACCCACACCTGGACTGACCGTGGCTTCTGCACTGCTCCACCAGACTGCCTGTGATCCAGTTGCTGTGTACCTGCTGGCTTCCCACGTGAGCCCTGAACCCTCTCTGAGCAGGCGCCCAGCACAGCACGTCACACGTAGCAAGTGGCCAATAAATGTTGCTTGGTTGAAGATTACAACCTCGCCCCTTTCTCCGCATCAGGCAACCCGAGACCTTTCTGGTATCTGCGACAGACTGCTTCGAAGTTCCAAGTAAGGTATTATGGAACTGGACAGTAGCCCCCACCCAGGCAGCAGGGACAAGTTCCCTGCGGGGCTGTGAGAGCTGGGTGGTGGCCCTCAGTCCTGCACCACAGGGACGATGTAACGGCTTTTTCTCAGGCAGCACCAAGACGTTTCAGGAGCCCAGAGGGGTCTGATGTTCCTCCTGCTGTTGCAGCCCCGACTCAGCCTTCCTCACCCAGTGCTGCAGCCCCGTCCGCCATCATCACCTGCCCCCTCCCTCACAATGGCCCAAGAAAAGTGCCCTGTAGGATCTGGCCCTTTATCCTGGGACATATTCAAAAGGAGAATATAAAAAGCACACACAACACATACCGACAGCTGTGTTTGGAAAGGTTCTGTGATGGAAATCTAAAACTCAGAACTGAAAGAAAATCTCACCTGTAACCACAAAGAGGTTCAGTCTGATTCAGTGGCTTGGAAACTGGTATTTGAAAACATCCCAGCCGATGAGCCAGGAAACTCCCACCCTCCCACAGGCTGCGGGGCCTTCAGTTGCCTCGCTCAGACCCACTCTGGCCTTAGAGGGTATAAAACTACCAGGAAAGGGTATTCTCCTCCCTCCCACACCCCTTAGGCCACTTTAATATTTATTTCCAGCCAGCACAAGGCGGTTGACCACACTGACACAAAGCAAAGGGCCTTCTCGAACCTCCCAAGCACCCCTGTGGGTGACCCTACCTTCCCCAACCTTAGCCTTCATCTGGGCGGTCTTTGATCACCCTCCCTCCATCGCACCACTTGGCTTTCTATTTGTTTCTTCCTTTACAAAATGAATGCCCCTGGGATGGTGCTGAGGAATGGCTAGCCAGAGCAAGTCTGGAAGCCAGGTGAGAACCAACCCAAGGTACAAACACACGGTCCAACAGGAGAGCAAAGCTTTGTAGCTGGAGACCCAAGTCACCTACTCAGCATGAGCCTGTTTCCTCACCTGTGGAACAGAGCCAGAATCCCCCTCAGAGCTGTGGTCAAGAGTGAATGAGACCCTGGCCGGGTAGCTCAGTTGGTTAGAGCGGCATCCCCATACGCCAAGGTTGTGGGTTTGATCCCTGGTCAGGGCACATACAAGAATCAACCAATGAATGCATGAATAAGTGTAACAACAAATCAATGTCTCTTTCTCTCTCTCCTTCCCTCTCTCTCTCTTTAAAATTAATAAATAAAAATTTAAAAGAGTGAATGAGTATCATCTGTCAAGTGCGTGGCCCACAGCGGACATTCAGTTAACATGTGCTGAAAGGGCCCATCATCACAAGCCCAGTTTTTTCCCCAGGCCAGCCACCCTACAGTTTCCCCAGCCCCAGGGTCTTCCCTTAAAAACAGACCTAGGTACTCTCCTTGGAAATCTGCCTCACAGGTAACCCAAGGTGTTCTGACGCCGTCTGGGGACAGTGGAAGAGCCACACGGCAGGCCAGAAAGAATGCTGTGCTGAGAAGCCAAAGCTCTTGCTTAGGTCACATTTTTGTATTCTTTGTATCTGAAACCCACTACACAGGGCAATTTCTAGCCTAGATTCCAGCAATGGAGCCCCTGAGACAGCCTCTCTCTGGGGAGAGCTCTCCTCAATTCTAAGTCATTTGAATATTAACTCTGTCGGAATCAGTTGGTCAACCCTCACCCCGAGGAAGAAAGCAGGGTTTGACACAGGTATTCCTGCACCAGACCACCCTTCCCCATTAGGCTGGGAGGGAAGTTCTGCTCAACTGACTGCACAAGTTCCTTCCTCCTTAGAAGCCATGAATGGAAGAGTCCACAGCCACCTGGATGACTAGTTAATAGCATCAGCTCATGTTTGCTGAGCCCTTACTGTGAATGCTTTATACATATCCTCCCATCATGTTGAATCTTCACCACTGTTCTATGAGGTAAAGAACATTGTTGCTCCATTTTAAAGATGAAGAAACTGAGGCTTACTGGCCTTAGGGGACTTTCCCAAGGTCACATCTCTTATAAGTGGCAGTGGGATGCAGACCGAGTCTGTCACCAGGCCCAGCAAAAGCCAGGCTCTGAAAAGCTAGAAGGAACCCAGTACTGAACTCACCTGATAGGAAAGGCCATCCTTTCGGGGGTTGAGGCCAATCTCCTCCATGGATGGGGTGCTCATCATCACCTCAGTCATCTCGGCCGATCTCAGATAGTCAGGGCTGCCAAGAAACCCAGACCAAAAACAAAAGTCAACAAACACACACTTCACGTTCCCACTCGTGGTGTACTCTGCTGTGAGATCAGGGGAGTGTCTAGAGGCAGGATGAGAGGTGTGCAAAACAAAACTCACAGAAAAACAAGCTCACACCCCGAGGAAGTGCCTTACAAATCCAAGAGCACCAGGGCTCTCATCCTTTATCAACAAAGCCCATTGTTGATCAAACCTCCCTTCCCCTCCTCTCCTGTACCAGTCCCCACTGGCACAGAGTGACTCTGGGTTTTCTTTTAAGTGACAGAACTAAAAAACAAAACACAAAACGGTAGGTAGCTGAGTCCAGCTGTCTATACTAAAACCAATTCAATCCTTCTCCAGGGGAACTGCATATTATTATTACATAATAATAACAGGTCAACCTCAGGGAAACCACATCTAATAATACTGCCTTCCTAAATGTCTGTCTCTCTGTTTCTTTTTGCAAAAATGTCCCACTTAAAGTCCCAAGGGGTCAGTTTTCTGCAAGCTACACATCTGCCATCCAACCCCCTCTCCAGCCTCAGCCACAGCAGCTGCAAGCTCACAGCTTGAAAAACATCCCTGGATTAAAAGCCTTAAAGATGCCCGGACTCTGATTGAAAAGGAAATTTCCAGAGGGGCCAAGCTGGCCCACCAATGGCAGACATGTGAAAGTGCTTTGTACTCTGTAAGCAGGATACAAACGTTCCATTATCCTCACACAAGCCATGGGCACATACAGGGTCCCGAAAGCATAATGCCAAATGGTACACACCAAAGTCAATGTACTAGCTACACAACACCCAATATTTTCATGCCGCTACATGTGGTTTAAAAAATTAAAAATGGAATAGGCTTTAGAGAGACTATGTCTAGAGGAAACAGGGGTACCAAACTCTTCATTTTAGGGTTACTATAGAATAGAAATGACACTGGATTTGGAAACAGAAGCAATAGGTCTGGTCCAATGTCTGCCACTCAAGAACTGTATGATCTTGAACAAGTCACATAACTTCTATGAGTCACAGGTGCCCTGTTTGTTACTATGATGCTAATAATGCATATGTCACAGTTATGTTAAAGAGCTAATGAGGGGCGGGGGATGAAGCACTAATCAACTATAAAATAACCCCAAATCTTCTTTTCTCAGGGAATAAAAATTCCAGTGGACTCTAAGAGGTTACTGCCTTGGCAAGTTTTGAGTGGCCACGGGCAAAAAGCCTCCAATAGTCTTCAGTCTCACCCATATGGCACCTGGCTGCTCACACACCATGAAGAAGGTGGTAGGGAAGGGGAGTCTCAAAGGAGAGGGGTCTAAGAGAAGATGCTGGGTTTCTGGGCAAGTTTCAGGTGAGGAGATGGGTCCCCAAAGGCATTTTTCTCCTAGGTCATTGAAAGACTGCCGCCGACCCCCCCCCCCCCACCCCCAAATAATTGGGCCAGAAGAGCGAGAGCGCAAAGGGCTCTCGCCAGACTCTTCGCCTGGTGTAAGAGCGCTCGCTTCCTGCGCGGCCCGAAAAGTTGAAGGGAGAAGCATGAACTTGGCGGTGGGTGCCTTGGCTGAGCCGGAACACGCCGAGCTAGACTGCGAGGCCGGGCTCTCTGCGCCGCACCTGAGAGCGCTCGCACCCCGGCCGCTCCTCCTCTTCCACAGAGCAGGAAGGAAGCAGCAGCCGGTGCGCAAGTCCTAGTGGCCTGGGGCCTCGCTCCGCAACGAGAGGGGAGCCGAGGCGCATCCCTCCTAGCCTGATCCCCGGTGGAGTGCAAATCTCTGCCGCCCCCCGCCTGGCCCAGGCTCCTTCTATCCCGGGCCCACGAGAGTGGCTGCTCCCCAGCCCAAGCCCCCACAAAGTGCGTCGGTTTTTAAGTGCTATTGGAAGGGAAGGAGTCTGGAAGGCGCAGCGAGCGCCTGTGTTGCTGCTTGTGGCTTCAGAAGGGTTACGTGTGGGGAGAGCGTTTTCCCCCCACCCCTCCCAGCTCTGCAAACGCCGCTGCTGCACCAGCTCAGCCCCGCTGCCGCTGGCCTCGACGCCCAGACTTGAAAGCAAACAAAAAGAACGAGGGGAGGGGCCCGAGAAGGGCAGGACCCCCCAGGGCCAGGCAAGCCTCCCACCTCCTGCAGTCCTCCGCACTGGGAGTTTTATTAGCAGGGTTTAGGCGTGACCCCTCGTTGCTCCCCCTCCCAATCACCACCACATATACACCTTCCCAGACGTCCCTTATGTGAGGGCTTTGAGTTCACTTCCTTTGTCTGGATGTTTTCAGCACCACCTCCCCCCACCCCCATCTTTGCAACCTTGACGTTGACTCCTGCACGGGCTTGGCCGGCGGGTTGGTGCCCGGCGCCAATGCTGCCTGCTCCCCTCGCACCCGAGCCAACACAAGCAGGCACCTGAGTCCCGCAGTCACAGCCGCGAAACGGATGCCCGCCGAGGGCGCAGGATACTCACCAGTGAATGGGGAAATATACAGACATGAAGTCCTAGGGGAGGTTGACCCACGCCCTTGTGATTTAAAAACGGTCACTGCGTCCTGAGTAAGGATGTCACGGGCACAGACAGGCGCGGCAGGCAGGGCGCAGGTCGAGTGCGGGCACTGGGCGTCTGCCGTCCACCTTCCGGAGACAGCCCCGCTGCCAGCTGCGCCGGCAGAGCAGACTGAGCTCAGGGTTCTCCACCGAGCTCGAGGCCCCACAAAGAGCCCGGGAAGCCGTATTTATAGGGGCGGAGGCGGGGTTCGGCCTGGGAGGCCCCGCCCTCCCTCGCCCACTCCTGTAATAACGTCACCAAAATCATGAATGGCTTCAGCGCTCGCAGATCCTGCGGACGGCAGCTCGGGGGCGCGCTTAGCTCTGTTCCTCCAAGGCCGTGGTTTGCTGCAGCTTCTAGCCCGGCCCCCGGCCCCGACTCACACACGCAGACACGCGCGTGGAGACACGGGCGCGCGGGCGCGAGCGCGCGCACACACACACACACACACACACACACACACACAGAGGCACGAACCAGGGCTGGGGTTCAATGTCAACACCGCTTGGAGCTTACAGACCTGCCTGCATTGGCGCCCCCTCCCTGCACTCACCACTCGGGACTCTGGGGCAGGCAACAGTATGCCTGAGGAGAGCTCTGAGCCGGCTCCACACGGGACCACTTGGCCACCGCGCTGCGCCGAGGGAGGGCGCTATGCCTCCACACTGGCTGCCTGGCGCCAGCTCTCCTTTGCACCCACTCGCTGTCCCCAGCCCACACCTGGGGACCCTGCTTCAGCGTTCATCCCCCAAACTAGGCCTCTCCCTGGCATCCTCCCCCACAGCACCTCCATCCCTGCGCCGGAGGCACCACTCCTTAACCCCCCCCCCCCCCCCCCGCAAGCTGCGTGGAAAAATGAGAACACCTCTTAAAAAGAGACGGTGGGAAGGTGGGAGGGAATGCAGAGCTTGGGGGACCAAAAGCCCGAGGGGGTTGGGTTAGTTTTCGAGGGGCTAGTCTGCAGCCCTAAGATCCACGGAGCATTTTGTTTGTGTGAGAAAGGACGCGGTACCGTTTTAGGGTTTTTCCATTGCGCGGGCACACACATACACCAGCGGCTCGGGCAGGGGTGCGGGTGGGCGTCTCTCAAGCACACCTCACCAGCCTTGTCTCCCAGATCTGATCCAAGGAGAAGAAACAAGGAGCTTCAGTGGAACCCTTCCACACTGCCTAGGAACTGCAACTCGGGGGGTCTGTCCTGGAGGTCAGTCTTCACAGCCCCCAGAGCCAGGATGGGACTCTGCCCCTCTGTGGCTGGCGTGCATTGCTCTACACCTCTGCTCCGAAAGCTCCTGTGAATGGCTTTATAACCCCGACCTGTGTGTGTAGGGGGTGGGATCAACAACTTGTCAAATTAAATGTGCTTTGAAGTCAGCCAGCTCTTTGAAAGGTAGTGAATGTGTTGAATCCATTTATATGTGCTTAAAGGTGGGATGATTGGATTAATGGTGAGGGTGTAGCAGAGACCCCAATAATTTTCATCAGTGCTCCCAAGCCAACCCAGTAAAAGTAATCAATAAGAACTGATAATGATTGTTGATTGTGATTATAAAAAATAATTGATAAGAATAAGAACAATTTTGCTATTTCTAGTCATTCATATATACAATCTGAGTAAAAACAGTGTACTTTCTAAGAAAACGCAGCTTCAAGATAAGCCCCCTAGTTGCTCCCTCCAAGCAGTGACATTCGGGAGCTTCTCCCCACCTCCACCCCACAAGATAAAACAGAAATGGACTTGTCCTGCTAAGTACCACCTTCATTCTGCTCCTCTGGAGGCAGTGTCTAATGGGGGGCAATGTTTCTAGGACAGGAGCTGAGGGGGGATGCTCCCGGTGTGGGGTTCCTGCTGGGGGCAGGCTGTTTGTGCCTTTAGCACAGGGTGGGGAAGCTTCTCAAAGGCTGGGTGTGATCGGGTCCTTTTCTTAGCCAAAGGAAAAGCCAATGCTAGGAGAGCTGGTTTCTGGGCTGGGACTTCTGGGGCTCTGAGCTAAGCCCTGGGCAAGCCTTTTGCCACTTCCCCCCAGTAGCAATTCCTGGCAAGACCTGGATGAAAGGGCTTGTCTCACCACTTCTACGTACCAAGAGCCCCACATTATATATTTGTGATTATTGCTTAGTGAAACTTTCAAAACTCAGAAAACGACACCCACACCCACACATACCATAAATTGTCAGCGTGGCCTCCTATTGGAGCCGAGGACGGGAAGTAAGAGCTCCATCAGCAGATGTCTGGCCTCTAGAAAAAGTCCCCACATTGGAGAACATTGAGGTAATTACCTGGTGCCTACTCTAAGGGAAATGCTGTATTAATGCCCATTTCAACTAAATTTCACCTCCGTCAGTAAGTTGGAGTAGAAAGTAAGCCTTGGGCTGTGACCCCAAGTCTACACTTTGTTTCCCTTCTGGGACCACGGTGACACATTCATTCATTTGCAAAGGGAGGCATGGGGCTGAACTTTGATACAACTATAGCAAGTATTCCATTTCTAGTCATAATACTTTATATAGCACCCTGCCGTTTTTCAAAGCATTTTCATAAACTCGGCTTTCAAAAGAAAATAGTAAGAGTAACATAGCACAACTTACAGCCCCCAGCTTACAAATATGCAAACTGAGGCTGAAATACATTGGGGGATTTGCCAAAGATCACAGAGCTACCCTGTTACATTGTTTTGGGTCACTGCATTTCCTTCAGATCTCTAAAGACACCAGGTATCTGTCATGCAGACTGACCAGTGCTTCTTAATATCCTATGAGATAGCTTTCTATCTACACTGCCTTTGAATAAATGAAGAAAAAGACAAGTGAATGAAGTTACTTAGCGCACCAGAAACTAAGAGCTGAAAGAGACCTTCCAAATCATCTAATCCAGTTTCCTCATTTTACAGGTGAGAAGAAACCTAAGAGATTAAATGGCAGGTCCAAGGTCACCAGGCTATTAAGTGGTGTAGCTGGAACCTGAACGAAGTCCTTCAGACAGATGGTCAAATGTTCTTTCCACTCCAACCCTACATCTTGCAATGCACTTGCCAAGAAGTCAGCAGCAGAAGTCAGGTACACGATCTGGACTTTAAATCACCTCAGTCCACCACCAACACTTAGTGAGCATTTACTATGTGCAGATCAGTGAACTAAACACCCAGCCAGAGCCCTCTGCACTCCCTCCTCCCTCCCAGCTTTGTCCCAGGAACTAAAGGGTTGAATTGTAATTCTGCTTCAATAGAAATCCAAGTGTATTCAGAACTGCTTTGCTTTCCAACGTGATATAAGTCCAGTTTTCCAGCTCCTTCTCTCCTTCACCTAAAGTAAGGATTAAAAAAAATAATAATAAAGGTACTGAGCTTTATATCTTATTAGAGTTACCTCAAGTGCTACTGTGCCATGTATGCAGGGCATGTAGCTAATTATTCATGGAGTAAAAAGTCCCCATTTAAATTCATTTAACAATCCATTCCCACACCTTGTCTCCCTTCTGGCTTGCAAAAACGACAGGATTTCATTTCATTTGTCTAGTCGTGGTGAAGCTGATCCTTTGGTTAGCGCATTCCTTCACGGAGGAACTGTTTGCTGGGGTACACTTATATCTGTAGCACATCTATGCCTCACGCCAACTTGAAGACATAAGAACCATTGCCCCATTTTACAGATGAAGAAAGAGGGGCTCTGCGAGGTGAAGTCACTTGGGCTACACGGCTTTCCAAGTATGTGACTCTGGGCTCACTGGCTCCAAGGCCGCTGTTTTCCCCACAATACTCCACTTATCCTGGTCTCTGTGGTTTTATTTGTTTGTTTTAACAGCTGAACCATAAACTAAATACAAAAGTGTTGGTTCCAATAAATAGCAAAGTCCAGGACTACTGGTGTCCATCAGTGGGGCACAGCCAGCAAAATAAACAAATTTCCCACCCGGGGAATCGGGGAGCTTCTTAAAATATCAGTCAAAGGCCTGAGGTTTAAGAAAAAGAAGAAGAAAAATGAATAGGAGAGGGGGAGTTTCTAGTCAGTTTTTCGGCGAAACTCGTTTGAGTACAGAAGAAATCTGAACGGCAAGAATGTGTGTGGGTTGATGTGAGGCTGAAATGAGATAATGTTATGAAAACACTTGGGGAGCTGGAAAGCACTGAGCAGACACATGGCTTGTTTTTAAGGGGTTTGGGGGAAAAGACAGGGTTCGGCAGAGTTGATTGCATCTGCTTTAATGTTTCACTAATTTCAACCACAGACTGCCCCATTTTCCCCTGGAGCCCTTGACCGAAGTTTCCAGCGGTGGGGGACAGGGGCAAGAAGTGACACTCTGCCTGGTGGCTGCTGCTGTGGTCTCGGCACCCCAGCATCTCCCCTCACATCCCCCAAGTGCGCCCAGTCTTCGGTGCCCCCCAGCAAGCGTCCAGCTGGATTCTGGACACACGATGAAGGGACGAGGCCTGAGCGTGGGCATGCTGTCCCATCTTGGCTGTTAGGGAATTAGCAGTCCACAACACAAAGCCACCCAAAGCCACCACGCAAAACCCTCCAGCCGCTCGTCGGCTTTGTTCGAAGTCCTCCGTCGAGTCGCGGGACCTCTGTCTCAGACTCCTAAAGCAATAACGCAGGCTACAGACGTCTCTCTCCAGCTCTCAGGGTGCTAATAAGGCTGAGAGAAAGTGCTTCTATAAATGCTCTGGAGGAAAGTGCTTCGCAGCCTACCGTCAGGGCTCTGCGGCCCAACATCAAGCCTGTGGGTACTCCCCGTGTGCCATCTCAGCAGGAGCCTCCTTCTTTCTACCCAGAACCCTCTTGCCCCCATAAGAAGCCTGGGATCTGGCAGCTCGTGAACTCTTGCCTTCCCACATATCAAAGAGATTGAGCCCTGGCTTTCTCTTTATTTCTATCAAGGGGCCTTTGAACCAAGGGATTTTTCAGAGAAAGAAAACTCTATGGAATCTTTAGGGTCCAGGCTCTTAAAAGAAAACACTCAAACTGGAACCAGTTCAAGGCTCTCGTGTCCAATTAAGGAAATACACACATTCCTGTCCTAGCTGACTCTAGCATGCTTTCTCTCTCCACAGCTGCACAGGAATGCACTTTAGCAGCCAGAAAAGAGGTTGCTATCACCGGGACACACATCATATAGCAGAGGGCTCCTGGGGCGGGCTCCCGCAGGCTGATACC